CACACCAAATTAACCTAAAAATGCATTAGCTCAAACAAACTTTTAAGGCAAAACTAGTCGTAGCTAGTACACACACACCAACTGCAGCTGTGTTTTGGAGGGCACACGTGGTCATTTTACAGGGCTCATCCAGTGCAAGGGAACTTTGGAAGTCTGTAACTAACTTCATCACTTCTGATTAATTATTCACAGTTAGAAAAAGGAGACTCCATTTGCCACCCAAATTATACTTTTGATACTTAGCTTAGTAGCTTTGCTAGTATAGTCCTGACTCATAGTATTAAAACTAGAAGTGGGGGTAGGCAGCAAAGTCTGTCTTTTTATATAATTTTCCTAAAAATTCAGTTTTGGTATGGCCAGACAGAGGTGAAGTTCCTAATTAGAGCAGGGTTTAGGTTCTCTCAGTGACGTGTTATGTATAGCACTCTTTCAACACACTGATTTTCAATCAGTTTTCACTCTTGTGCATTATAAAAAATTACAAAACTGCTGCTTGGCCGTTGACACCTGTCACTGAAATCATGTCTAAGGCATCAAAATGGGCATTGCTACCAAAACACTGCTACACCACAATCAGCATCTGCAGGACTTACAAAGAGGTTTCAGGGGAAATCCCCCTGATGACAGACATGCCTTTTGTACAGCCTGAGGCTCACTCTGATGTACAAATTAATAGGTTCATCACCTTTATTGTACAGTTTGATCTGTTCTCATTCCAAAAGCCCACCACAGCTTTGCTCTTTCTTGAGATAATGAGACTATGTTGACCAAAAAAAAATAAATCTGAGTACCTCAGCAGAAGATACAGAAGGGCTGACATAGTCTGCCAGGTACCTGTTTTCCACAGTTTGTTGCAGAAATAGAAATTTTGCGAGAATGGTTCACGAATTCAGAGTCTTCACTATGAATAAGCCATTAGATAATGAGTTTGACAAACCTGTGCCTAGCACACAATTTGAGGCAGCTAAACAAATCTTGTTACAGTTAAAAAGTGAATGTCAGTGCCAGAAATATAGATTATCATACATATCTCTCAATGTATTAATTTTTGTAATTTACAATAACACCCCCTACCTAAGGGAAGACCATTTCAGAGTTGTATAGTGCCAGTTATAATGAGTAAGCAATGTCCTAAATTTCTATTCGGTGCAATTAGTATAACCACGTTACAGCCAATGTGACTTCTGAGAGGAAGGAAAATATAACAATGAAATCCAGACTTTTGGCTACTCTGACCAATTTTCCTTCAAAACTGATTATTTCCTGCCAGGGTGAATTTTACTGGCTCCGTAAGTAGAGTGAAGAAACTCACTAGTTCCATAAAACTTCATATGAATCTTTTACTTGACTTCTCAGCTTAGATAAAACACCACAGTAATTCATATAAAATGGAAGGCTTGTGAAGCTGTTTTGCAGTGCTTCACTGAACAGTGGGCTTGTTTTCAGGGAACTGTGGAAATGACTTCCCAGATTCTGTATCTGACATTGCTGTTACTTCCTCAACAGCTTTCTTTGCTATGTATCTTATCAATCAGAAGCTGTAACGGAGGAACATTTACTAGGGCTTAACACAACCACAGACAAATAGGCTCAAAACTCTTTTCTTATTTTAATGCTTATTTTGGAGATTAAATGAAAAAAATATATTTTATTTGGGAAAAAAACAAACCAAACCAAAACAACAAAACAGGCAAACCCCACCACACAAGGAACACTGGCCACCCCCATTCATACTATCACAGCTACTTAGAGGAGGCATACAGCAGAGATCTTAAACAATCCAGTGTGTTGTGATTGTAAATCTGTGCTCTAGCCTATCATTCAAAATACACCCTGTTTTCTCTTCTGTTTTCTTCTTTGCTTTCAAATGAGACAAAACAAAGAGGTTGCTTTTTCAGACTGTGAAAGTCTTGGTTAAAGTGATAATTCTTCCGTGTGATTTTCTTTAAAGTATCTTTGCAAGTTTCATTTCTTGTTAGGTAAAAATAAAGAGACTGCATAGTTTACATAACATGAAATACACATCCAAGCACACCCTGGAACAGTATGAGAGACTACTGCAAGAATCATTACTAGAGGAAGCGGGCTGATATTAAACAACCAAAGACCTACGGGAGGCCCAGAATTAAACTTTCAGTTTCTTTTTTAAAAAGTAATCAAGCTAAGCAGGAAAGCACACCCCCCCACATAGTGCTATCTGAAAATCCACTCACCATTCTATCTGCCCATCTCTGTGCTCTTACTGTATGTCCTGACATCCCAACCCAACCTTTCCTTTTCCTATCCCCTTCCCCAACATTAACGCTCTACCTCACCTCCTCAGTCTCTCAGTACTTAAGTATGTCTCAACTATCCTATAGGGGTTCCTCAGGTAGAAAGGCAGCTTAGCACTGTACAGATACTTTTAAACAATACCTATACAACTCAGCATTACTATTAGGTAGCAATTGTCTCATCATGAGTTGACAGACAGTAACTACAAACTACAAATTTTAATGCTTAGTAATCATGCTGATGGTGGGAGAACCCTACCTGTGCCAGCTATTACTTGGCTAGAACTAAGACTGCTCATAGAAAAGAGAGTACCAGCTCTTAAAAGTTATGTGCAAGTAATTCACCTGTAAGAAGGGAATTCAATTTAATTTGATTGCTGCTGGCACCACAACCAGCAAACCAATCAACTGATAAATAGATTCCACTCTTGCACTGGAAGAGCCTAAAATACATTCTGAGAATGGCCAGGTTCTCAAATAATAACACAAAATTCAGAGTAGAAAAGGAGTTCCTTCAATGGTGAGTGAGGGTAAAGAATTATTGGTTTTATGTGCTACTGTAGTGTTAACAATTTATTACATGGATCATAACAGTCTCACCGATACCTTGTTTCTTTTGTTTGTTCCCTGAGTCAATTTTCTAATAGGTCCTTATGCAAAACACTGCAGCTTCTTCAAATTAGGCTCTATTTTTCATTATATGCATCCCCATCATGATTGGAGACTCCAGATGCAGCTGCGATACCCAGAAATACATAAATGTCTTTTTGCATGAACCATTTTATTACAGAGATGTCAACCTGTGCCCCTTCGATGAAAAATGCTGATATTTAGACTTTTCACCCTAACTTGAGACAAAACCAATGCTGAAATATTCAGAGTTTTTCATAAAACGGAAATTCCAGTTTTCAATCAGCTCTACAGAGACCCATTAGAACACACGGGCCTTTCACATGCAAGAGTATTCCAGATACCATATTACTGAGTGTTTTTCCCAGACTGGTTAGACTTTCACAACCTGTTTTTGTTAGTTTCCTGGTGCTGCAAATGTGATTATTTGATTTCTTTCAACTGAAGCACACAGAGACATTCACAGGATATAAATCCATATTCTTTATCAAAGAAAGAAAAAGGACAGTAATGTGAAAGAACAGTAATGTGAAAGAACTTTTCTTGTGAAAAGTTTTCCGAAGTAAAGCGAAATATCTCTTCTGTATGACATCGAGCATATGTATCTCCAAAAATATCCTTCACTAAAATAAACCAAGGGTCTGGAATTCACTGAAACTGCTTTCTTCCTCTGTGCCAAAGACCCCCATTCAAGAGATGCTGTACAAAACCTGAGAGGCCTATATATATAAAGAATATTATATATGACATATTACATACTATATATATAATATTTAGTTATATTCCAACAACTTCAAGTTTCTGTCACTTTTTCATTACAGTAAAACACTAAGTAACGTCCCAAAGTGTTTGCACTCAACTGCATGTATCTACCAAGTTTGCATGCTCCATCTTCCCTTCAATGTATATTATTTTATAATACACTTCAGAATGTACAGGCAAAGCAGATGATAGGTCAGTATGAATTTATTAACTACAAAAGCAATTCCATTGTTAACAATGCAACAAATCTCAAGACACCTGTATAAAATTTTATGTTTATTACTCCAGAAATAGCTAACAGAAATCTTAAAAGAGATTTTTCAGGAGAAAAACATGCATTTGAGAATGATACCTTATTTTAAGGTATCATAGACGTTGAGGGTCTGTTGTGAGCTCCTTCAAGCAGAAGGGCCACAGAATTTCACTCCAATGCCTGTATTAGGCCCTTAAACTCCAGCTGATCTCGACCATCATGTAGCCCCATGGCTTTTTAAATAGATGACTGAAATAAGAAAACATGATAATAACTCAGATGAGAGCTCTCTTTTCGTGAGAGTACTTGAGAAAGATTTTTCCTAAGCAACCATCTAGGGCAGTCCACAGGGGGGTCGGAAGAGGGGAGCCTCGTATCTAAACCCTTACTTACAACTTTCTTAACCTGCCTTTTGCTTTATTTTCCAAGGGTGATGTGAATCAGAGAAGCTGCTCACCAACAGCTTTGAAGACACCTTTAGGGCAAGGATCTGTGGACATGGGACAAGGCCTGAGCACGTTCCTCGTGAGACACGGAACTCCGATGGGTTCAGTGGCTCTGTTCACACACTTCAGTTTTCCTTAGTGGAAAAGAAAGCAGTAGAAGCAAGTTGTTGATCCCTTTATTGTTCTGCACCTCTTAGCACAGACAGACTCTGCGGCCGAGGGAGGTGAACGCCCTGCCTTGCTCTCACCCCGAGCCCCGCGTGCGGTTTTGGGCGACGAAATATAATAAAGATATAAAGCCATTAGAAAGCGTCCAAAAGAGGGCTATGAAAACGGTGAACGGCCTAGAGGGCGAGGCTTTAGTTTAAAAAAGAAAAAAAATAAACACACAGAGACACACACACAAAAAAAACCACTCTGAAAAAAAACCAAAACCAAAAACCAACATTTAATCGTGTTCGGTTTTTGTCTTTAATTCCGCTCTCGGCTGAGGGCCCATCACTGACTGGCGCGGACAGCGGGTTGCGGCTCCTTTAAGAAAAGCACGCTTCGCACGGGATTGACGTCCCGCTCAGCCAATAGAGTTGCAAGTACCGCCCCCGAGCGTCTCGGATTGGCCCGCGCGGAGGGGCGGGGCGCCGCTCGAAGCGGGGGCGCCAAGGTGGTGCCATGGCGGCCGTGCTGGGGCGGGTGGCGGAGCTGCCCGCGCTGCTCGCCCTGTCCCGCTCGGCGCTGGTGCGGCACTGGGACGCCCCGGCCCTGGACAGGGCTCTCGAGTGGGCCCGCTACTTCCAGCACGTCCACGACCGGTTCCGTGCGCGGCCCCAGCTCCGGGAGGCCCTCGGGCGGCGGCTGCGCCGGGCTCAGCCGTGCTCACCTCCGCTCGGCTTCTCCGCCCTGGGCCGCTGCCCGGAGCTGCTGGGGCTGGCGCTGCTGGAGAACCGCGCTCTGCCGCCCGCCGCCTGCCGCCGCCTGCTCCGCCGCCTGCTGCTGCCGCCGCCGCCCGGCGCGGGGGCCGGCCCCGAGCCCCGCGGGCTGGCGCTGCTCGCCCGCCGCAAGGCCGCCGCCCGCCTGCTGGCGCTGCCCCGCCGGCCCGGGGGCACCGAGCCGCGGGTGCGGGCGGAGGCGCAGCTGCTGCTGGGCCGGCTGCGGGAGGAGGAGGCGCAGGAGGGCGCGGGGGCCGCGGGGCGGCCGCGGTGGCTGTGCGGGGTCCTGGAGCGGCTCCCCCCGCCCCGCGCCTTCGCCGTGGTGGCGGCGGCGCTGGCCCTGCTCGGGCAGGGCAGCGGCGCTGAGGGGGCCGGAGACGGGGATCGGGATGGGAGCGGCCAGGACGGAAACAGGGCGAGTGCAGCAGGAGATGGATGCATTGCCGGGCTGCTGCTTTCCTGGCTGCTGGGGAACCGGGAGCGATTCTCTGCCTTCTGCCTTTGCCTCCCAGGTTCCCTTCTTGCTTCCCTAGCTGGTCACTATTCCCAGTTAAGCAGATCTTATTTGGACCTCTTAACCGGCTGGGGAAGCCACTTGCACTATGACCCCTTGCAGGGGCGGTGGGTTAAAAGTTGCCTTGAGAAAGCTGAATTGTCCTGGGAGGAGCTGAGGGAGCGCTTCAGCTGCCTCTGTCAGGGATCTGCACTGCTTAGAGAACAGACCCAAGCCGCTCTGAAACTCCTGAAGACACGAGATGGGGACTTCAAAGTCCGTGGCCTAAGTGTGTGGACTGACTTACTGATGGAAGTAGAGGAATGAAGTAGGGTCCTAATGCATGGACACAAAAGCAACATGAAAACTTGTAAAGCCAAGCAAATCTGGTTAACCCTATTTGGTATGAAGGGCAACACAACTATACCTCACTTTAGGTTGAAAACCAGCATGTGACTGCTGATCACACTGATTCTGACTGCATCTGAAGTCTTTCAGGGAGGCCTGGTGCTTTCTTGTAACTGCGCTGTCATGTCTGGTCACCACAGGAAACGCCGCCCTTCTCAATACTTGCTGATTAATGCCTAATAAAGTGAAGAAAATAATTTCTGTTTTAAGTGTGGAGTAGTTTTCTGTTTAGAAAATGTTATGGCTCAGGTATGGTCATGGTAGTCATTTCTCTAAATGTTGGAGTCTGACTGAAAGCTCAAAGGGAGGGTGGAGTTTCAAATGTGAAACCCCCCAGATTCAGGGTTCATTTAGTAGTGGTTGCCTTCGTTGGCCTGTCAGCTCTAGTGGCCACTCTCATGCTTTTATAGCTCTTGCACATGACTTAGCCCCTGGGTCTAAGTGAAGAAAGCCAACTGGAAAGCTTGAAAAGTTCTAAAATTAGAGAGTTTTATTAGTTGTGTGTTATTCAACAATATGCAAGTATTTCCTAAGAAAATGGCAGTAAAATGTAGGGTGTTCTGTATGGTTTTCTTCCCTTTTCTGTTAAATGATTCATTATTTTGTGAAGCAGAAAAGTGAGTGAACAACAGACTTTTTTATTATATATGTATATAACATGTATTTTATATGTATATATAATATTTATTTTATGTGTCTAAAACATTTTCTATGTATAAAATGTTATATAACAATATATATGTATAATATGTATTATTATATGTTGTACTATATGTGTAGTATAATATTTCCCCTCCTTTGTTATTTATGTTGTATCAGTTTCTGTGAAGAAAACTTGTCTTTTCCCTGTCATTTAAAAGGAGTATTGTAGTGCAGAGGTAACATATTCATGTATATTTAGTTCTGTAAGGTAGTATTACCAAAAGTGAACAGTGTAAAGAGAGAATAGTTAAGGAAGATGAGGAAAATGTATGGAACTACTGCAGAAAGAGGTATTCATTAATCTTTTGTGTGGAGGACCTGTCAGAATTCCTGTAGCTCATAATCTTACAGTTTCAAGATCCATTTGACACATCTCTTTCTTTTGTTGCAAAAGCCCCTTAGGAAGGGTTAGAAGGTTCTTCACTTCTGCTTATAAGCTTAAAAAAAGGAAACAAAATATTAAAATATATAAACTGGATTGAAGCTAATTAGAGTAATCATCTGAATTACGATATGAAATGGTTTTATATAACTATGGCAGATATTTCTGTATGACAGAACTAGAATGGGACGGATCTCATTTTGAAATGGAACCAATTAGTACAAGGGTATGAGCATTCTTTATCTGTGAAAAGAAATTACACTTATTTGAACTTGTGTGGAAATAATTAAAGACATAAGTTCTTAGTCTTCACCTCTTCTATAAAAGAAGAGATACTTAAGGGTAGCACACTTTATATATTTAGAAGGACATGCTAATAACCTCCTATGAAAAATGTCTGTTTTCTTTGGATTCCTTGCTGTGTTCGTGTCAGTGAGACAATGAAGTTATGGAGATCTGCAGATGAACATATTCTAAAAGCTACAGCTGTGGAAGTTGTCTAGCTCTGTCTTAAATGGAGTTGTTGCCCCTTCTAGAACTTGTGGTCAGTCTTAAAAGACACCAGTATGTCAGAGGACCTCCAGGCTGAGTCAGTGTTTCTGTGGTATCGAGAAGAATATGGAATCTGTCTAAAAATCTGAAATCTGTCAGTGTTTAAAACTGCCTAGAAGTGTAAAGCATGAAGTTTGAATTTATGTTGTCTAGCCACAGTTCCCTGTGTTATGTAGTTTTGGCACTTGGTGTGGAAACTCTGCACTGGAGCTTGCTCTTAACGCTTTTAACAGGCATAAGGTTTTTCGTCTGTTCGAATACTTTTTGCTATCAGAGGTTCCTGATGAACGATATACCCAAAGATACGAGTCAAAGTCGTTCCCTCCTCCCCAGAGGGGTGATTAGCAAATATTGCAGTAACCTTACAAATGTTATAGTAACAAACCAAACCTGATCAGTGCTCCTTCTTCTACCTGGAGATCTAATGGGAAAAGCTGGGTAGAAGCTGCTTGCAATCCCTCTCTCAGTGAGGGATAATCTATCTCAACTATTAAAACTTACTATTCCCAGGCATCCGAGTCTCTGGGACAAATTTCGGTGAGAGTTTAGACTTGTTTTTGCTTGTCAGGGTAGATATTTTCTAATTATACTCAGAATGTTCACTCTGCATTAAGTCTCTTAGCAGCTTTTAACTTTTCTACAATAAATCAGATGCTTGTAGGGAGTTTCTTGCAGTATTTCAAGTCTTGCTTTTTGATAAGCCTTCTGTTACAAAATTCAGTTCGTGAAGACAGATATCTTCTATCCAAGCAATGTGTCGTTACACCTTTTATTTGCTAAGTGCAACTACAGGATCTACTGGCACAACCACAAAGTGGGACTTTAAGAATGCAAAGAAATAATAATGGGATGGGCAGGCAAGGGACAGGCCAGTATAGACCATATCTACTTGATTCCCAATTCTGTCCTCCTTACAGGAGACTGGATAGTTAAAGGTAGCTCAACCTCAGTGAGACAAAAGCACCTGGTTACAGCGATTTCACAAAGGTGTTCAAATACATTATAGAGAGGTGCCAGATCCCTGATTACCAAATTCCAAAATCCATATGGCGTTTATTGAACAAATGTGCCGGACCACATCCCCTATTATTTCAGCATGCCTGTTGAATTCACCAGGTAGCTGTGTGAATGAAAATTAAATTTTATTTTTTTTTTTTGGAACTCCATTTTTAATAAAAGTGTAAACAGGAAAGGAAAAAGTGTGATGTCTGTAACCTCCTCCCTCTCCCTGAGCTGCTGTATTTGCAGCTCATATTTGCATGCTGAGGTTTGCAGCCCAAATTTGCAAACTCTTGACAATCTCAACTGTTGTCGCGGGAAGCAAGATATTATAAATGACATCCCACCTTCATTTTAATTATTTTTTATTTTGTTTTTTACTGATAAAGAGAAACAGATCTCTGCTATTTATTAAATGATGATTGAAGAAACTGCTATACTTGTGTTTCAGAAGATTGGGAAGGATTGTGGAGTGCATCAGGAGGATGCCCAGTTAATAGCTAAGACAGATACATTTTGCTACTATTGATGTTTGATTTTTTTTTGTTTTCTTCAAGTAGGAGGAAACAATTTACCTCTTGTCAAAGAGAACTCTTGTCACTCCACGAGTGACATACTAAGAGATGTCTGGATACTAAGTTGCCTTTTATTTTTTTTCTTGTGAAGTGTTTGGTACCTTGTAATAACCCTACTAAGCTGAATCCAGAAGAAAGAAAATTATATGTTCTAGTAGTTTGCAGTATGTATGCAGATACTAGAAATGGTGTAGAATAAATCATTCATTTAGGAAAAAAATATTAGCAGATTGGTGCCATTCAGGTGAATATATGAGCCTTATTGTGACTGAAAGAACATATGTTTCAGAATGTCCAATCGAAATGTCAAGTCCAACCATGCATTGACATGATTTTTTTTTTAATACACAAAATTTCTTTTCCCCACGCCCCTCCCAAATAGGTGAAGAAGGGTCTAATGTTCTAGTTCTTCAGTGATAGTGAAGGGCGATTTTATTTTTTTTTTCTTGCTGCATGTAAGAGAATATTGTTTAGGTCACGAAGGCAGACTGATATTTTAGATATTTTAGAAAGCCAAGTTAAAGTTGTGTGGCTAATTTTAGTTCTGCTGTTTCTGAAAAAAGGAAGATTTAAAGCTGAATTCTATTCCTTGTGAAGAGTTTGGATGAATGACCCGTTGCAGAGTGCCAGCAAAGGCCCCACATCATGGCCATTCAGAACACAGCAAAGAGCAGTAGTGTGGGCATCATAAACTTGAGAAGCTTGTTTAGTCTGATGGACAGAGTTACAGAAAAAGAAATAAAATGCAAGTGGAAATGGTGAGGAGAAAAGGCAGAAAGCTGCTCCCTCTTGAAGACACTTGAGAATGGGTAGATTTGCTGCTGCTGGGGACAGCATCAACTCTGGGAATGTTGTGATTAAAAAAAAAAAAAATCAGAGTTTTGCTTTGATGTTGGCTGCTCTTCTAAAGTGCTCAGCCTCTGTGTACCCAACTGGCTACACTGATCAATGGTTTAACAGGCAAGAGTATTAAGGTAGCAAATAAAAAATGTAGCTGTGTGTGCAGAGCAGGAAACTGCTTATTTAAATACAGGCTGGTCTCACTGAGGTGAGACCAAAAGAACAGTATCATATCTGCTCTGGTGTAAAATAGATGTGAATAATCACAACTGTGGTCTGGAAAAGTATCTTTTTATCCGGTAATAATTACTATAAATCCTTCTCACAAACTGTTTGCTCTCGGTATTGTATCTGTCTCATGAGGAATTAAATGTTATTTTGACCAAACACATCATTCTTTATTAATCAGTTATGTATCTCTACTGAATTTCAGATTAAGAGATGATAGATAACCTGGAAACAATTACATGTTTGTTCTCCCCTACCTATGTACTTTTAAAAAAAAAATCTCAGCTAAAAAAAAATCTTTGTAGCTATGAACTAGACGAGAGATAATCACATAGTTGAGGTGCATTCTCTTTGATCATTTTTCATAGGTAGACTACAAAGATGTTAAGCTGGTAAAAGTAGGTACTACTTCAACATTGAAGTCATTCATGTGCCAACACCACTTTAATGCCTTGTGTGGCAGTACCTTAAAGTTGCTGATATTATTTTACATATTTAATGATATGATAATAGATTTTCATTGTCTCAGTCCTTTCACAACTAGAGGTCTTTGTCCCTAAATCTTTGGAGTGGTTGGGATTTTATTTACAGTTAGTGTTTTGATTCATCTCAGACACCACAGAGGGTGGCAGCAGAGCCTCTCTGCACAGATATGCATGGACTTCGGATCCAGGGGGAGAATCCAAGCTCATTCCTAGAGGCAGAAGAGATGCAGGGTGTAAACACCTACTATTGTGCTACCCACTCAGAAGTTTCCAATGAAAAATCCATTGAAAGGCTATTTTGTCCTTGCAATTCTAATTTTACCAATTCTTTAATGTAATGTAGGATCAGGTAATGTAAACTGTATCCCCTAACTGTCTCTATCCACAGACCCATTTTATTAATAACATTAGGTATGCAGCTCTTAAATTCCTTT